CCTTCTCCACGCCTCACCTTCCACCAGGTCTATAAGACTACGGGCACCCAACACGTGGCTCCCCCTCTCCTTCCCGTTCGACTCCCCCCCCCCCCTCCCCCCACCTCTGCCGAGCGACGCGACTGCGGTGTGCGGTGGTCAGCGCAGCGCGGGCAGTCGTATCACGCCAGCCATCAGTCAGTGTCGGGCGAGCCGCTGTCGCCAGAGTGCCCAAGCTCGAGCGAGCCGTGTGAACGTGTCTGAGGGAAAGGAGGAGCTCCGCCGTCGCCAGGGTGAGTTGTCCTACGCCTGTGAATAGGAATAGACCCTTTGAACATTGTCAAAGTGAAGAAAAAGGTGAAGAACAAAGCACCGGAAACAGTTGCTGTTAATTATTACCCAAGCTTAACCAAAGCACTTGAATAAAATGTAGGTCGTATAATTTTCATATTGTTTACATTTTGAGCAAGTTTTCTAGTTTTCTTAATCGTTTCGGTTCTTTAAAGCAACTTTCCTGCCCGTTGTTCTTCATCTTGTTCTTAACTTCGCTTATGTTGAAAGGGCTACAAGGGTATTCCGCTGCAAGGCAGTAAAGCATCCCGGTTAACCTGAAATGCTAAAGAATACGGGAAAGAAGAAAACAGAAATCGCTATGCTATGCTTCAGCATGGTGACTCCCGTTTTCTTGTTCCCTGCATTCTTCTGCATCTCAGCTTTACCGGAATGCTTCATCGGAACCTAAAGAAGAAAAGCGTGACTGTCCGATCTGTTGTCTCTGGAATGTAGATAGGGTACCCCTCTAGAGCGCGGAGCGGAACTATCAAGGGGTCTTAGGCAAGTGTAAATTCCCGATCGTGCTCCAACTCGGTATATTTGCTTCTTAATCTATGTAGGTGACGAATGCCGACCAAATTTTTTCCTGAGAGTCATGTGCCGAAACCCCCTATAAAAGCGTTTAATTTCACAAAATTCAAATTTCTACTTTAGTACTAATATTAAGTAATATTCTGACTCAAAATGAGCGGGTTTGGGGGGGTAGTTCCTCTGACACTTTTCGATTTGAGGACTTGTTTCTCTGTATCAGTCCTAATGTCCCCAGAACATGTCCATGCCGTCATTCGACCCAAATTAACTACTAGGTAGATGTACGCCAGGCCACGTCTCGCGTAACAGGCTTCGCGATATCTCACGATACGCTGCGACGCGCCTGGCATACATCTACTTAGGCCTGCGGCGCTGACACCCGAGTCGGACAAAAGGCAGAGTCGTAGATAGGCCTTTGGCTCCAAAAGACACAAATTTTACCCCCAGGACTTTATTTTGACCAGTTGCCCCACCAGAGACTGTCAAATATCTGAGAAGCAACATTAAATTGGTTTGGGGTCATTTTCGTGTGGATATCGCCCTCTCGCGACTAAACGGTTAGAGATAGAGCCAAACGGACAAAATTTGGGTCCGACGGTCTCTACCTTGACGAGTTACGTCTTAGAAAGATGTAAAAAATTAAAAGATTAGAAGTACTATTTTGGGGTTTTCGTTTTTGATTTTTTAGACAGGTCAATTTTCAAGCTAGAGGGCTCAAAATCAATACAGTTCTTGCTTTTTATGCTACAAAGCTACGCTATTAATTTCAGGTACCTAGCTCAACCCGTTCTCGAGTTATCGTGTTTACAGACAGACACACAGACAGACACGAAACTTTTTGATCATCACTGGAGTAATAGGCTTCGCTATCGCTCAGCCAACAAAGGGATTTAATAGGAGAAATGTGACGTCACAGAGGGGGGGGGCGCGGAGCGGGCGGCTGGCTGGGACTAGGGAC